CACAGAAGAGGAATGGTCTCTGCAGCCAAAACCGCAATACTAGTCGATGTGGGGGTTGGGACTCCGAAGTTGGTGTTGGTCCACGAGAAATTAAGGGCGCTTGGAGGCCTCACCGTCGACACTGAAATCATGGTTAGCTGGGGCCCTGCCGTTGGAACATTTTCTGCTACTATTTCCTGCTGCTGTGGATCTTTATCAAGTAGTTTTTCGGTGTTCTCTGGAGGCGCAAATACAGTAGAAGATCAGAGAATTCATGTCGCTCAAAGGGACGAATTCCTGGTTTTCCAGACCCCTTCAATGCGATTTGAACAGTAGTTGCTTGAAATGAGTCTGTGAATAATTTTGCAACTTGAAAAATTGTAACAGTGTCCTGGGTGGTTGATCAGCCGTTTCTTGACCTCCTGTGCTATGAAACGCACATCATGCCATCTTGTATTGCTCCTGCCTATCGGTCAGCTTGGTGCACCATATCTATCTTTTTGTAGCGCCCCATAGAGAAATTTGATATACAAAAACCTCTGTTTTACAAATAACTCAACTTGACTTAATGTTTACAGTTAATTCTTTTATGAAGTATTGTTTATAATTTAGATAAGAATTTATATTTTAGACTAGTAATTATGTTCTATATTTTGTTTATTATCTTGAACAGCACCGTTACTCGCATACAGACTTTTAAAACACAATTTAAAAGCCGTTTCAGCAAAATAATGTTTTACATTTATTAAATATTTGAAGTATTATATACATATTATAATAGTGGCCCGTGCCGTTCAAAATAGGAAAGTCCGCTTTTTGGGCTGGTTCGGTGTTCCTATTCGAGCAAGACATGACGACTGAAAGTTTAATATATTATTATTATTATTATTATTATTATTATTATTATTATTATTAAGAGATTAGCAACTTTTATAGAAACTAGACATTTTCGTTCCCGCGTTATAGAAAACCTATTTGCATTGATACACGGACTCCAGATGTGATTTTTCTGCATTACTAACAAAATAGTAACTTCCCCGCCCCCAGCTCTACTCTTACCACTACAAGCAAAAGAAGAGTTCAATAAAACGCTCATAGTGAAGTTATATTTATGTCTAGAAGCAATCAAGGGGCCATCTCAGCATTTGCTCAATGGATCAGGGAAACTGGACAAAAACCTGATCGAGATGGGGATCATTAACCCGGAAGCTGAAGTACAATACTTGTTACAGGCATATTGAGTATTTTTTAATTATACAATACAGTACATCAATGTTTTTAAAGTAAATATTTATATTTTTCTTTCTGATGACCAATATACCTCTAATTGTATGAAAAGAGTTATGCAGTAGAAAAGATTGTACTTTTAACTTAAATTTGTGTACCGACTTTAATTGTTTAAATTCATCTGGCAATTCCTTGTAAAGCAACGTACATTGTACATGTATTGTTTGTGGATTTCATGTAGTGAGCCGTTGATACTGACACTTGATTCTGAAGAATTTTCGCAGTTAAAATTACTCATTTTTTTATTTGTTTTACCGAAAGGCAAATACTCTCCAGAATTTCTCAAAACGCGAATATTCCCTGATCAAATACGCAATCGACGACGCACCGAAATCTCAACCAACACACCGAAAATAAGTCAGGTCAATATGAAGAGGATGTTTCACACTCATCTCCGATCAGCACGCACTTCGGCAATTGCACCATTTCCGGTGCAGCTGCGCTGTTGACAGATTGAGGTTTATTGCAGCGCAACGATGCATTCCAAGTGTCTAATTCAATCCTTTTGAGATCAGTTTGAGATACCAGAAACAACTTTTCACATCTAATGTTTTTGAAAAGCCTGGATTAAACATTTTGTAACACATTTTAAGTGCTTAAAACGCCACTTTATGCCTAAATGTACCTACTTTCAAAATTTTGTTACCTTTTTTGTGCCTACAATTCCAAAGTCTGCTTACCAGTAAGACACTGACGCGTTTGATCTTCCGTTTCCAATTTTATAACTTTTCCTTACGTTCTTTCGAAAATAATACATTTATTAAGTTTTGTGGGGTGATTAAACTCACAATATGTGGCCATAGTGAGACAAATAGACGATTCCTCTAATCCTGTAATATTTCGAGGATTGATAAATTTCAGTGCTCATCTAGAAGAAACTATGAAAGAGCATTTAAAGAGTTATTTTCAATTTAGAAGAGCTTCTAAAACAATTCAAAAGGAACTTTAGGGCAGTATGCTGGCAGTGGCTCGCGAAGAAATTACTCAAAAACTGGGACAGGCACATTTTGTCGCATTAAAACCCCATGAAACTAGTTCTTCGAAATTTCAAATAGTAATAGTGGTGCACTACGCTAAGAAATATCTTACACCGTGAGTCTGGCTCATACTATTTTATCTCCGAGTGAAGAACGCATCTTTACAAATTTTTGCCTACAAAGCATTTTTTTAAACCAACTTTTGAGTGCTTTTTGTGGCTGCGGCATTCGGAATATCCAAGTACTTCATTAGACAAAGTATGCTTAAAATTGTTTTAAAAGCTTATTTTCAAGTTTCGACGTTTCCTCCCCGAACATCCTGTATACTCTTGGATGTTCAGAAACAAATGAATGTTTGTTTGAACCACCACTCGTACTACTACTTCACCGACGAGAAAGCCTTCCATTCGTTCCATTTGAACGAATGGTATCGGAGAGGGGTTTAACTTTGTCCAATCAAATATCGCCACTGTTGAAATCATTGGTGAAAGTGGCTAGGATTAGGAAGCAATTTACATGTAATTTGTTTCTTGGAAAGAAGTGAGCACCGGCATACCGTGAAGACTGATCCACGCGGTTTGAGCTGTGTAGAGACGCGTCCGAATCCTTTCCAAATTTCTTCAGTCAATCCCAATATCAAGAACATCCGGTAGCTTTTATTTTTTTCCCTTTATTTTTTCTTTTATTCAAGAATGTTTCAGTAAAGCATTATAATAAATGTATTTATTTGCTATATTCTCTGAATGATACGATGTACACGAAAATGATTTTCTGCCCTTCGTTACCCAAAACTAACTACGCGTAAAAGAAATATTAAGAAACTCGCAAACTGACAAGTAGAATAACGGCTTATTCCTGTGAACCTACATTTTCATATCTTACCAAGGGAACCATTAAGCAACACTGCCTCCAACTAACTGCTCAAATCTCCGCCGCCGTCGCCAACGTTTTGTGGCTGCTATTGTTTTCTAAATTTATTGCCAGAATATATTATGTAATTTATGAAGAGCTGCGACATTTATTCGCCTTTTTTTAATACATCGCGTGGTCCTTTTAACTTCAATTCAAAATATTGCGTATTAACCAAAAATTCCTTGCAGCCTTAATTTAAATCACTTCCATTCATGTGAACCGAAACTCTCATGACAACATGCGTTTACACCAAACAAGACTCAAAATTTTACGTATTTAACAAATGGCCTCGACGTGAGTTTTGCAAACCTTCTACATGTGATTATCATGTACATTTTTTGTGGAATGGTAGGAGAACGATGTGCCCAAGACAGCACAGTGCCAAGACCCAGAATTTGATTCTGTGCCAGGGGCAAGGAGGGTTAAAAATCCATATGCGTTAATAGCGATGGGTTGACGAGATGAGAGTGCGTGACCGGCGGCAGGATGATGCCCAGATGGCTGCAGTCTCGTGGAAGGAACCTTGCTCCCACAATCGATACCCCCTGCGGAAGAATGTAGGCCCCTGTGGTCAACAGGACCTTTTGCGACGGACAGCCAACTGCAATATTTCTTCGTTGGGGGTTATGCTTCTGATAGTGAAATACACAAAGCAGGTGTTAATAAGCACTAGTTAGGTTTGGTATTGTGATTACATACTGTAACATACATTGTTACTGCTAAAATAACTTTCTAAGGACACACACACACACATATATATATATATATATATATATATATATATATATATATAGCGCGTAATGGTTATACATCTACAATTAATTATATTGTGATTAATGATCATAATCGTTAGTATTTAACAATTGTGCAATTATATTCAAAATGTTAAAATGTATACTTTTCTCGTTGAGGTAATTGAAAAACTCAGTAGTGATTCTGTCCAGCTAGTTTCTTCAAGGATTCGAGCGAACGGGCCGTTTTCATTCTCTCTCAGCGATATCCGGGGGGCGCGCATCATTCTATTTACCATTCGTTACCACTTGCGATATAACTGAATACACTCGGCTCATTATTCATACATACTTGTCCATCTTTGCGAAAATTCTTGAGTTACGGACATGCAAATGTAGATCCAGCGCCGACCAACACGTCAGATGGAGACTTCTCGCTATAGGTCGCCCCAGCTGAGGCCGGTGTGGGTAGTGGCACGCAAGTGTGTGTGTATATGTGAAAGGGGAGGGGGGCAAGGTAAGAAGAAGGGAAAAATCGCGCGCGGTCCGTCTGTAGGGTACTACCCGGCAGTCGCCTGGTATTGATCGGATAAATCACACACTACAAATTAAGGTAGCAAATTCTGAATTAGCCCGAGCTAGTGTCGAAAATCCGCCTGGAGCCCCAGGCCCTGGCTAGAATCTCTACAAAGAAATTTGCAGTGTAGGCTCTGAGCTACCTCAGTCATACCATCACATTCTCGGAAAATTGCTCGGTACTGTCCAGCCGAAACAAGCGTTTGCCATAATCACTTATCCCAGACATATTCATTGTTAATGTTCACTAATAAATCAACCCTTGAATAAACTTAGTCACAAATGAAGTGTCCTAAATGTTTTTGTATTACCGAGAGCAAAACCATTTCAGTATGCAATGTAACTTCAGCTGATCTGCCAAAGCCCTTCCATTTCCTTTACTTATTCCTATAATGACATGTATGAAAGAGGGAAATGCAATGGGCACAAAACTACATATTTTCAAAAAACAATTCTATATCCTAAGTTAATCACCCTTAAGTATTACCTTAAAGGGAAAGTATAATTTTTTTTTTAAGTAAAAAATATTTGATTCTGGGAGACAACCAAGAAGCAGTTTGACATACCTGTTCAAAATTTTTTGGACCTGATAAAATGTTTATTTACTTTCATGAAAATAACAATTTAGCAATTTTCCATATTTATTTTGCAATCTGAATAAATTTGATTTTTAATGCCAGAGAAAGGGATACCACAGCTTGACATGCACCCATATTCACAAGTATAATTTAGTACACGACTGTCAGCAACAAAAGCTTTTCATATGCTTACAATGTACAACTGTACAGAATTTAAGCAATTAATATTCATGATGAATATTAATAAATTGCTTGCATTCTAAGCAAATCCTTTTAAGAGACATTTAAAATGTTAATTATCAAGATATTCATATTAGATATTCATGAAATCTCAATTATACAGAACTGAAAATAGTAAATGTACTTTAGTTGTTTTATAAACATTACTAACAAAGAAGGCAAGAATAACTATCAAATAAAATTCCAAGGCAGGAAATTGAAGGCATGTGGATACAAAATTACATACAAAATTCCCAGTTCAAGGTACACAATATGCATTAGTGTTCGACCATATACAGTAAAAATACTGAATCCTAGTATATAGGGTTTTATTTAGGTAATACCAATATTTCTACATCTATAAAGAATTATTCCTGTCAACATTAAATTATCAAAAAACAAATATTATTCAACAGTGTACAAATAATGTGTCAATTCATGCTTTGAAACAAACTCATGAGGAGTAAAGATGAGAGGCTGTGTCAAAAGATTTTATTCTGTTGTAACAGTCCGTAATGGCAGCACCAGGATCCTCACTACTCCAGCTCGCTGAAGGTTTTGTATGTTTTTGGGAAGATGAATGGAATTTGTGTGTGGCATAGGCATTCTGTCCCCAAAGATAACATTCTGAAGAGTTGACTGTAGTCACAAATTACTTCAGGGTCAGAAAATTCATTTTGAACATGAAGTAGATCTGTATAGACATTCAGCACAGGTGTGTGCAACCCACAGTTCGCGGGCCGCTATTTAACTTTACATTTATCACAAAATTATACAATGTTCTTCCTAGAATTGGCCCCTTCCTGAAATATTGAAAATTGCCCCAGGATATAAAAATAGTATTATAGATAAAAATTTACTAATGTGACATAGTTAACTTGATACCAAGAGTTAAACAAGGACCAGATAATGTGGGGAAGGTTACAAACAGCAGAATACAGTAAGGCAAGGTCCCATACAGACCACATAATGAAGTGATAAAGCTGCCCTGGTCCTTATAAGTGATACTTGGGATCATGCACAAGGAGGAATGCTGAGTGCGCAAGTTACATTATTTTACTGTATTCAATCGTTTTATTGGTTTTCAGAAGATCCGAAAATGAAGACCTTCTTAGATCCACAATGTTCATCACATAGCTGACACACACAATTCCCCAATGAATAACCTATTTGGAATCAATTTAAAACACCAAAAGTCAGGGGATTAGAGTACTATTTTGCATTTACAAGGTGAGAATTATCTGTGGCCCCCGCTCTGTGATGGTTGCACATCCATCATTCAGCAAACTTTATGAACACAAATCACCTTTTCAGAAGAACGGGCTGGCCATAAATAACAGCCTGATGTCTTGGAACCTAGTCCCTTGTGAATTAAGGCATTGCATAAAAATGTAGAGTACATTGTTAAGACTATAATATATCCATAAAATCATCTACTACAAAGTGAAAAGTGGATAACAATGTTCAAGGTATTGAGGCAAATGTTGGAAATTAAGAAAAAGTTGTCTTCCTCAATCCCCACATTCAAGGAGCACTGAGGTTACTAGTTCAACAACTCGCAGGGTTACCAGGCATCACAGGCATTTTATGATTGCAAACATTCATTTACTGAAGGCTCACCTGGTATTTTTAGCCAATCTTTCCTTTTATTTTTGAATGTCCTTATTTGTTCTTATTTGTTAACATATCCTCTCACTGCACACTCATTCACAGCTTTTCAACAAGTTCGCAACTAATAGTAAAATGCCATTCAACGATACCTTGTATCACTCAATTCTCATGGCACTTACATCACTTTACATCATATTTCAATTCTACAAAGATTACTGCAATTCCAGCACATTCAAAATTCAAATACCACTCTTCTTTGTACAAGTCCAAGAGAAAGATTCTCTTACACAATACAAGAAATCATAACAAGGCTGCTTGTCATTAGGTCACAATGATTACATAATAATGACCTGAGCAAGTCCAACATACAAATGTACTCTAGGGCATTAATGTTTCATGTGTATAAAACCAAGGGGAGTACATATAATGCACTTCAACTTTACATATAATTGTTATGTATCACCAATATAATAAATAATGAGACGCATATCACTTAACATTCCATGGTCAGTAGTCCATTATTAATTAGCACCCTGCTTGTGGCTACATGTCTTGTCTTGCACTGCTCTGGTGTCTGGTAACCCCATCCATTCATAAATGTATTAAGAAAATGTTCACTTTAAATACTGCCCTAAGACAAAAGCTGCATGCACCTAATGACTTTTAGCTGTTTTGGACTTTAAATAACTGCATAGTCCCAGTGCATAATGCTTATCCACCAACTATACATAGCAGACCAAGCAACTGCCGACACCAATTCTGTTTTAATAAATATAGTGCAGCTGACCAGTCCTGAACCTTGAGGGTGAAAAGTCTACTACTTTGGAAGAAAACAAAAGGAGAGCATATACTCACACAAGATTTAATTAGATTCCAAATTATACTGAAGGCAGCAAGCACATAACACAAAATAAATGCAGTACTTTTAAGCATGAAACAAGTTAACAACTTAAATAATGTGAAAGAAGTTGCAGAAGCAAATTCTTGAAGAGGGGTTCCTTTCTCTCTGAAATTTACAGGATTACCATTATTTTTATTATCAGATGATCACAACACTTCACATCTGACTTTATTCAATAAAAACATTTACAAACGTTTGAAAGTGAAAGTTGAAAACAAAACATGAAAGTAGTGAAAGAAGAGAGGATACTAAAAATAATGGAAGATAGGGGAACAGTGGAATTGAGAAAAAGCATGGTTGAATATAGGACTGCATTCACTGTATTGATCAGCCAGCTACCCAGCTACAAAATCTTTCACAGGGCCAATTCCTTAATAACATGACTTAATAAGAGCATGTATTTTGTAGCAGGAATAAAAAGCACATTGACTCTCCTACTTCTACTTTGTGAAAATACACACTTTCGTCAACATAAACATTTTCTTTGATGCTCTTTTCTGAACTGACTAAAACACCAACACATTATTGTTAATGCCCTCCCTCATGTAGATAACCTTGCACAATAAACACAGACCTGAAATGAAAGCAAACCATTCAGGTGACAGGGTTAGGAAGACTGCTACAATAGCAATAATCCTACGCAAGTAGTATCAGATATATATTACTTGTATGACTAATTTCTAGATTGCTGGTATTAGTAGTTACTCAGATACTTTTCTTCTGAAAACAGATTTTCACACTCATTACCCTGTCACCTCCGTATTTTGCAATTCATTTTTTCAAGACATCTACAATATCCAAGTGTCTGTAATAAATTATGACCGTTGTTTTTCAAGTGTATTTCGTATCTAATGCTGTTATTAATTTTATAAATTCTATCATTCTACATATTATTCATTTAACAATTCATTTAGTTATTTTGGTGGCTTGAACATTTCAATAGCTTTCATAATCTCAAAATCCTGAAATTCATGGAAAAAAAATAATAAAAAATCCATTTAGATAAAGCTGATTCTTGTAAAATGATTTAATAAGTTACAAAACACAAAACCAACAAATTTCCACACCTGTTCACACCAATTCATGTGATTCAGCAATAACCATTTATCTTATCCTGCTATATCGTCTGAGCATTTGTAAACTTTTTAAGATATTTATTTTCCCATTTTACATTTGTGCTGGAAAATTAGTAATTCCATAAGATATTATCTAAATACTTAAAGTAATGCACAAAAGTTTCTATTCCCAGAAACGAAGGAACAGTCAATAACTTTACATAAACTGAAAATATATTTAAACGGTCTGCACAATGTGAACAAGCTATGATTATCTCTGCGACATAACAATTCCATATTATCACACTACTCTGCATAACTGGCATAACCTGAAAAATGTAATTCACAGCGAAGGGTGTATTCATGTGTCCTTCACACATGGTCATGATGCCAGAATTAGGATATAATTGATGGGGACACTCGATGCAGGGTTCAAAGAAAATAGCTACACTACTTGTGCCCATGATTTTTTTATAATTAAATGTAGGCAATTGCCACCTCGAAAAAGTATTCTCATCTGACAACAGTCATGTAGATAAAAAAAAATAAAATCATTTGATATTAGAAATGAAAACAAATAAAATCAATATTCAAACCTGTGTAGCAATTGTCATGAGAAAACTGGAAAATGGTGCTCCATACAGAAGTGCATGAAGTCAAGGGCACTTTCTTTATAAATTCAAGTAACTATGCATCACATTATTATCAAGCAAAACAGTCTAATAAATTCACTACACTCAGTGTAGACACTATGTCAAAATTCCACTCCCACATGATACATTCCGTCCTTGGCTTTTTCTTTTAAGAATATACTGTGCAATAGAAGCATAAAAAATCCTATTCCAATGAGGATACATATGCATGCTGTCCATGTAACTACTTGCTGCTCACAATTAAGGTTCATACAAGAGAAAAACATTCCATTCTGTCTAGCAGCAATTTTCAAAACCGATGACAAAATATACAACCCAAACTTTTTTCATTTGTCATAAACCACATATTACACCTCCATATCAATGTACCCTGAGGTTCAGGACTTAATCACAAACATTGTGGCAAACAGTTTTGTGGCAAATGAACTGCAGTATTAAATTACATTTGAAAATTAAAACTAAACACCCGATGACCTGCATCCAGTTTTTTCCCTTTTACCAGAGGCCATATGAACTCGTTGATAATTAATTACAAAATCATTAAGTGGATTTCAGTACCCATGTAAATATTATAAATTTATGTATGGTTACGTAGATTGGCTTGCACTTCATTAAACATCAGTCTCCTCACGAACAAGAATTTAATATCGATACAATAATGTATCAAAGTAACAAGTAACAAAACACAAAAAGTATGGTCTTGATGCCTGCTAAGCTTTTTGTTCTACTATATGAACTTCTAACATCAGTAACATGGCCAAACGATACTACCAACATATCTAAATTAAAGGTGCAATGTTCAATTTATTATTGACTAATTTTGGCAATGAATAGTCCTACTGTTATTTGCTTGTTTTGCCCTATAGTCCATTTACAACACATTATTTACAAACATGGTAAGCCATTCAATGTGAGTCGCCTACTCAAGTCAAAATTCGGGGGACTGCCTTTCAATGGCACAATGTCACAGCTTAGAAAAAAAAAATCTTCTCCTTTCCCCCTTCCTCTTTTCCACATACCACATATAAAATTAATATACGGGAAAAAAAGGATATACAACAGGAGGCACAGACATACTACAAGATACAGCCAGATATTAGGATGAAGATGAATGGAGAGAATGGTGTATTGGATTGAAGAGGAAGAGGGAAGCTGAGCAGCATACAACAGACTCACGAGTTTGCAGCGCTGTGCTGCGATCATAAAGACAAATATTCATAGGAAAAATTTGCCCAAAAGCACACCCAACAATCCCATAATTACAGCCAATGCCACGAAAAACATTGGTGAGGTAGCAGGAATAGAAGTTGCAGGATTGTTAGGTGATGTGGTGTCCGCTACAACAGATGAATGACGCAGCCGAAGTAACTCCTCCTAATGAAATAAAAAAGTACTTAATAGCTAATTCCATATCTAAATCATTTACTCTCAAATATTTACTTGTTTCTACCTTCAGTTGTAGGTTTTCTTGCCGCAGTGAACTTTCCTCCTCACGCAAACGCTTTACTTCAGTAGCTGCTTTCAATAGTTCTTCTGTGACAGTGTTTGGCTAAAAGAAAATTCACAGAATCAATCAGTGGCTCATCTTCCACCTGCATATCTTTATAACAAGAACACTGAAGAATACATCAATTTCTAGTTCTACTCGTGACAAAAAAAATTTACTAGAACTTCAAACAATTCCAAATGAATAAAAAAAATTTATTTATATTTCCTGATATGCAAACCAAAACGTATAAAATATCTTTCTTTTCTCAAAAATCTTCATCCTAATAGTATTTGCTGCCGTTTTAATCTCGTATCACACACCAACTCCAACTGACATGTGTACATTAACATAAAATTTCACTGTCAAACACTTTTGTGTTAAGTTTTAAACATTATCAAAAACAAAATTAATGTATTAGTTCTAATTCCTCATAAATTCACTCCTTTAGCTCTTCAGTAAAAACAACCCACCCTCAGAATTTAATACACCTCCAATACTCATCTGAATAATTAATTAGTTTTGGATTCAACTCTATGATACATAAAATTTTTTCTATACATAAAGACAGTTATAATGCAGCAGCATCTGATCTACATCATACTAGACTAATAAACATAATGCAAAACATACCATTAATTATTACTATGCATCAAAATTGTATACCCCCGCCCTTTTTTTCCCCTGTTGAAATGTTACATTAAAAACACAAAACTTCTGCATTAGCAGCAACAAAAATTTCAAATAAAAAAATGTTGAAAGTTTTTAGTAGTTGTTTTATTTTCCCCTTTTCTCATAACAAAAATTAAAGTACAACATGCAAGTGAAAAATTACAAACGCACAATAAAATTCCATGCACTACAATTGTCTTTTCATTTCACAAACTCAAATGCTCCCTCTCAAGTGCATTTCATCATACATACATTTAAAAGAGATTAGATAATTCTGTAACACTAGTACCCATATATACAAACCACTAAACAAAATTCAAGATTCACAATGGCAAAAGGAAACAAGAAAATTACCTTAGGTGAGAATTTTGCGCTATCTCCAATCCTTTTAGTTTTTTCCTCATGAACAGCAGGAGAAGCATCAAGGTTGTTTTCTTGTGGAGCAGCGGGATGATATTCTGGCATTTCGAATACACATTTCAACTTTGAATCCATCAAGTTATCTTGATGTACTTCTTTCCACTGCACACAAAGCAGACCATTTCATGAATTAATACGAAATATTGAAGTACATTTAATTAATATTTTTTAACTTTCAAATAATTGCATAACATACCAGAGTCTCTGCATTTAATTCACCATCGGGTGCAATCATTGTCTGAACCATAAATTTATGTTTATTTTTCTCATTTGGATCATAGTCAAAGGGTTGTAAACACACTGGAAAAAAAAATGTACATATAAATTCTATTATCTTCTCCAATTCAATATCCATTTCAGCATGCCACGATTCTCTCCCAACATTATCACATGGTTTCAAATATATTATAAAAATCTGACCAGCAATTAGTAATAAATTAAATTGATCATAAACAAACTACTCAATACATTGTATTCAACTAAAATGACAAGGCTTCACAACAATGCAACTCTGACATAACAATTTCACAATTAAAATAAAAATTTCACATTGACCCAAGTATCACAGAATATAAAATTTCAAGTGGCAAAATGTTACACTACATTTTGAGGGCACACTATGAAATAATCATAGGTTTTCAAAGAAATAAAACAATATTCAAGAAGTAATTGCACCCTAAAAATCTAATTTAATTCACTATATTAAAAGTGTCAAAATGTTCTTAAGCAAATTTTCATGGAAATACAAAACTATTTAAGACATTATCTAGAGATATGCGTTTTTTTGCGTTAAATAAGGTTTCTTACCTGCTATTTCAATCATGTCCTTTGCATCCAAAAGGCCAGAATTTGGTCTCACACAATACTTCTTTGGAGCAGTTGTTTTTATTTTAAATAAAACTCTCTTATCAGATGGATTGGTTAATTTCATATACGAAGTGACAGGTGCGGTGAAAGGGCCTACAAAGGAATGACACCGCAAAATCAGCATGATCATACACACTCTTAATAGAATCAGCCACATAGTACAGAATTGCGCTAACACACGCAGTTATACTTCAATTATTTCGGGAAATGAGTAAATGAGAATTTTTAATGACAACACAATTATTTTGTTACGATTTTCAAGTAAAACTGAAACACTTGATGTGATAGAGTTCATATTGTCAGTTGCATGGGAAATAACGCTAGGAGTGGTTACCTCTTAGCAAGTCCTCGCTGGTTTTTACACGATAAAAGAAAATCAGTAACACAACATACTAACAAGTGTTAAGAAATCAATAGGCAGGCAGTTATACTAAGAAAGATGTACGATTACAATAAGGGATTTCTAGATAAAGAATAATAAACTAGGTAATGTCCACTGACTACACAGGCTTGGCCAGATAGTCATTTTCGTTACATCATTAGCAATGTTTACAACGTATCTTCAGGCTTACCTCGGAATTTCAATTCGTGTTGGGGCTCTATTAATAATATTTGCTCTGGTTTCGCCATTATTTAGTAATACAAGGGAGACACTGCAATAGATATTACCGCAATATTCGTACAAACCAATACTACAGTGTCACAAATGGCTTCAATTCTAATCCCGGTACTGACGATTCTCGCTTTCCGACAAATACGCATGCGTCACGACGGAAATATGGCTGAATAAATGACGTCACGCCCACTACCGAATTCAATGTAAATAACGCAAATAAATATAGTATTCTCTAAATTTATAGAGTGGACAATTTCGTATTTCTTATTATCTGTGTGTATTTTAAGTCATAATCAAAATTTTGTTTTTGAGATAATTTTATGAAGAGAAATACATTTGAGTGACAGAAATAACCACTCGTTCTGTAATCCGTACTTAGCTCGGTTCTACGAGTGATTGTAATTGATTTAGAAGTCTTAAGAAATGTTATTTGTAGTGTTGGTAAGAAGATTGAATTAAAATCAAAATTTTAAATATTTCAACGATATAAGTGGAACGACACACCTCCTATGTGCCTTGGTCAGTGTTAGTTACATTGTTGAGCATTGTTATGAATATTTCATTACCATATTAGTGACATTATGATATAATTCATCGATATCGAGTCCTAAATAGTTATAATACAAAATATAACTCTCAGCAACACCATTAATTTATCTTTGGAAAATATTTTCCGCTGATTTCATTGGCCAGCGTGGATTAGGATTGAAGTTGAAGGCGGACTGGAAAGAACGCATATACGTCTGTCAGTTGTCGCAAGTCGTAGGAGGGGCTGTTGGCTAGTTGTTGGTGTGAGAAATTTCATTTTTTTGTGTCCATAAACTACAATTATTGAGGCCAGTGGTGAGAGCATTTATTTTTGAATTGATTTTAAATGAAGTGTAGCGTATGTTTTTGTAAAATTACTCTTTAAATATCTATAATTATTGACACTAAGAAGTAAGGTTATGATGCATGTTCTATTTTATGGCAGAAATAATATCACGTAATCTAAAGAATTTGAAAACGTGAAATTGTTGTCCTTTAATAATTATTTGTTTCATGTTTTGTTAGCATTGTTTGATCGTGTATTAACTTTCCAGGAAAAGTCTCCTTATGATATAAATTGAAATGGCTGCAGGCACAACATTACAGGTGAGCTAGTTCAATCGGAAAACGAGTTGTCAATAATTGTCACTGGCTAAAACATAGAAAGTGTTGTTAAATGTTTAATTAATTCTTGTTTTTGTATTATATTTGTATATTAATACATCTTCAGATGTGTAATTAAATATTAGTACATGCTAAAGAAACCAGTACATTTATTTTTTTGATTGGTTATATTTGAAATGCCTTTTTTTGTTGGGATAGTTGTGTTTACATTGTGAAAATTGTTTTCATGATTATTGAGGATCCATACTTAAATGAATGTTTCTAGAGTATTTCGTATTATGTTTCAGAACATCCATATGAATAATTAAAAATGACTACATTACAATGTTTGAAGGAATGAAAATAATAGTCTGTACTTACTTTAGTGTCTAGGTTAATGTTCAATTATCCCTTGATTATTAATAAAATAAATGAATTTTAAAAAATGTGCTTCCCCTGATTAGGATATCCTTTATCACATAAAAATCAATATTGACGTTTCTAGTAATGCAACGTATGTAATCATGTTAAAGTACGTCAATGCAAGTAATATATGAAATACCAGTGGAAATGTTTGTTGTGTTATATGTTATGATGAACAATGGCTACTTACGGTGAAAATGCTCATAGAAATTTCTGAAGTCAATGAACTTGGTGTATATGTTTTCCTTTCATCTAACCTGAATAGCATATGAAGATATTGTTAATTCAATTTGTTTTATTACTGCTTTTCTATTCAAATTTGTGTAAGTGGGATTAATGATTCCTTAAAGTATATGCCTGTGGTATTAGGGCAAAGGTGTTAAGTCATAAAAGCGAGTTCAAATGAAAAGTTAAGGTTAAAAAGCTGGAGTCTTAGTATGCGGTACAATTTAAAGAAGCCATTTAAAACGGCAATTTATGCTGCTCTGCCAAAGGGAAAATCCACAGTGGAGGGATTAGAAAAATGAGGGGAAATTATTGGCATGGAGGGGTGAGGAACATTATGCAGAACTTATGTATAAAAAGCATGCACGGTTTCGCCAGTGCCTTACTTTAACCCATTAAAAAAAATTAAATTTACTATTTAGGTTTTTTGAATCACTCCCTAAGCGACATAACTTCACCTTCAGAAAAAATAACTTAATTCTGTTTACCCAAACACTGTTCATATGTTCTGTTGACTTTTTTATATTAATATTTTTTTAAGCTAAATTTCTTCAGTACTGTGTATGTTGTTACAGAAAGCTATTGATCTCGTCACTAAAGCTACTGAAGAAGATAGAAACAAAAACTATGAAGAAGCTTTAAGATTATATGAACACGCAGTGGAATATTTTCTACATGCAATTAAATGTAAGATAAAATATTGAAATATGGTTTAACTGCCTCAATAAATTATTCTTTCACTCATTCTGATTACATATCACTTCTTCATTCATGATTACATCATTGTGATAACTTCTAGATGAGGCCCAGGGGGAACGAGCAAAGGAAAGTATTCGTGCTAAGTGCTTGCAATATTTAGATAGAGCAGAGAAATTGAAAGAGTACTTGAAGAAAGGCAAGCCAAAGAAACCAGTGAAAGCAGGAGAAACAAAGTTAGTGGTTGTAGGGTGTAGTATTGTACATTGCTTGACATTTAAGTTTGAATTCAAAGTAATACGTTATCACAGTCCTTTACTGAATATAAAATATGAGAAAATTTACTATAACTTGAGTACAATTGTGTTTATTTCTAACTGTTAATTTTTGTTAGAACTGATGACAAGAAAAGTGACAGTGACAGTGATTCTGATGACCCAGAGAAGAAGAAATTACAAACCAAATTAGAAGGTGCCATTGTTGTTGAGAAACCTCATGTAAAATGGAGCGATGTTGCTGGCCTAGAAGGAGCTAAAGAAGCCCTCAAGGAAGCTGTTATCCTTCCCATAAAATTTCCACACCTTTTCACTGGAAAAAGAATACCTTGGAAAGGCATCTTATTGTTTGGGGTAAGTTAAGTTGATATAAAACATGAATTGTTAATTTTTAGGCTCTCTTTATTAATCAGACAGAAATGGGAAATTATCACAACATACATTTTATTTTTATGAAGTCAGTTCGTTTTAGTTTGTGGTTTTATTTATTATTTCATCTTTTGTTACTGAATTTTATTTTTTGAATTGCTGTTGTAGCCTCCTGGAACTGGCAAATCATTTCTAGCTAAAGCTGTTGCTACCGAAGCAAATAATTCAACTTTCTTCTCTGTATCATCATCAGATTTAGTTTCCAAATGGCTTGGTGAATCAGAAAAACTTGTTAAGAATTTGTTTGAACTTGCAAGACAGCATAAACCTAGTATAATATTCATTGATGAAGTTGACTCCTTATGCTCAGCACGTTCTGAAAATGAATCAGAATCAGCTCGAAGAATAAAGACTGAATTTCTGGTTCAAATGCAAGGTTGGATTTTTTTTTAAAATTCAGAATACATTATTATACAAGTTACATTGCTTTGGTTTGTTGTTATTAATTGTCTTATTTGCAGGAGTTGGAAATGATAATGATGGAATACTTGTTTTGGGTGCAACTAATATTCCTTGGGTATTGGATGCTGCCATTAGAAGAAGATTTGAGAAAAGAATTTATATTCCTCTCCCAGAAGAACATGCAAGATTGCTGATGTTCAAATTGCATATTGGAAATACCCCTCATACATTAACAGAAGAGGACTTTAAAACTCTTGCTAAGAAGACTGAAGGGTAAATAATCTTAACAAATTTTGAATTGATAAATTAATTTTATTCCAAACTCAAGGTTTTATTTTGGTACAGTTGGATAATTGCTTCAGGGCTAGTCTCTATCTTATAATTCATACACACTTTTAAAATAGTGAATGTTATTCGAAAGTATTCTAATGGTTTTCAGTTTGCAATATTAAGCTAAAATTCAACTGTGTGTAACTCTTGAATATAACTTGATTCTATCTCATAAAATTTGAATTCGCAATTTTCTAATTTGGTTGGTAATTGAATGTCAATTAGACATCTAATTAAGTTGTACTACACATTTTAGTACTTGAAGGCTCTTAAGTGGAGGAAGATTATATGTTCAAGTTTTGGTTGGGGTGTTTTCCTTTGTGGTTAAGTTTTTTAATATTAGTAATGAATGTTATTGCACTAATAAATTAACATTTATTAATCCATTTCTTGTAAAGCAAGTCTTCAGATTTGAAATCTGTCTGAAAAAGTTGCTTAACCTTAAAACTATGATGGTAATCATTCTAACAATATCATGTCATCTTATTTTGAGTGTGATGAAAGCGTGGCCACCCTCTGAAAAATATGGAAAAGCAGGAAAAATCAGGGATTTTTCGCTGCTCTAGAAAAGTCAGGGAATTTGTAGACAAATCATTAGAAACCAGGGGAAATTTTCAGATGGTTATATAATTAGATATTATTCCTTAAACTAATTAGTTCAGCAAAAAATAGTGACATTTCTTTATCTGTTGAGATTTTTTAAATAAATTTGTACTTTAGAGCTGATAAATTAGTATCAGGCTTGCTTTAATATTTTTTAAAAAATATAAAATACTTTACAATACATATAATCGTAGAAGGGAGAGTTTCATTGAGAAAAGTCAGGGAAATTGTTTTCAGAAAACAAGTGGCCACCCTGTTGTAAAATACATAAAATATTCATTAATTCAATCATGTTTGACATTAGTAAGATAATATTTTTTACTTGCACTTGTTAGTAAGAATAAGTATATTAAGCTAGAGTAGCCTTTTGTTATTGGGTATTTGAAAAAGGACATGTTCTTAATGATGTACTGAAAAGTTGCATTCCTTTGTGGATTGGCATTACTGTATTTTGAGGAAAATATATTGATTTTGTAGTTTTGGTTGAAGTCTGTGTGTGCGCGTGTGATGCTTTTTATTAAATTTAGAACTCTAGAGGACATATCTTTGTTTCAGGTATTCAGGTGCTGATATAAGTATTGTTGTTCGTGATGCACTAATGCAACCGGTTCGCAAGGTCCAAACTGCAACACATTTTCTACGGGTGCCAGGCCCATCTCGTACCGATCCTAATGTGATTGTGGATGATCTCCTAACTCCATGCTCCCCTGGAAACCCTGGTGCTATAGAAATGACTTGGATGGATGTCCCTGGTGATAAATTGTTTGAACCACCTATTACTATGGTAAGTCAGAGAATTTTGTTTTCACCATCACATGAAATGGTAAAATGTCTTTAGTCAATAATGCTGAAATATGTACAGCACTCTCAAATAACTTGGATGGTCTTTCTTCAGAATTTTGGAACTGAAATGATATTGTAATTTCTATCTGTAGATTGATGTTGCTGAAATGAATCGTGGAAATAGTTAAGATAGAAAATGTAGAAGTAAATCACACTAACATTCATTGTAAAGATGTTTCTTTAACAGTGCAATGCTTAGGAATTGTTCTTGATATGAAGGGGTTTACCCCATCAAAAGTGTTATTTGTTTCCATTTCAAATTATATAAATAAAATGCACTTGTAAGTTTATTAATAATATATTTGTTCATGAATGCTTGTAAAACAGTGATGCAATCTTTGAATAGTTGCCTTGGAAGTATAACAACCAAATAGGGCAGCACTATATCTTGAGGGATTCAACATATTGATCACTTCCAAAACAATGAATAGCTCGGAGAGAACTTATTTCAGAGTCTCTGAGTTAAACCATTCTTCTTTATGAATAATTAGTTTTCTGTGAGAAAAAAGGCAAAAGGAAATTTATCCAACTGATCATGAAAAAAATTGCTGTTGAATTTTTCAATTGCTTTAATAATTGTATCTAGAGTAATGAACTTCGCATAAAGGAGAAAAAGGTCTTTTTAAAAGAGTTCCAAGCAAAGGTGAGCTAGTCTTAAGCATAATAGAATACCTAATATTATGTTGTTTTTTTTAATTCTACGCTTTTCTACGCTTGCTTTTTTTCTAATTTACATTTCTTTAATTTTCATATCAGTATTTGTAATGCTGCCTTAGAGTATTCTTCATTAAGAATTGTTTCTTTTTGTTTGCAGAATGATATGACACGTTCTCTGGCTACGTCAAAGCCTACAATTAATTCCGATGATATGGCAAAACTCGATAAATTTAAGGAAGATTTCGGACAGGAGGGTTAATAATCAAGAAGAGATACGTATGCTTATCACATTATGCATTGGTAACATCACTTTTCCTTCTGAAAACTTTCACATAGCTTTATGAAAGCTCTTGCAAATATTGTGAGAAAATTGTGAGTGCATTTGACTATTGCTTATTGCAGTGGTCCGATTGTTTTCCTTGAAATGATAATCAGAATTTTCGTACTACTGTGATTGTTGTAAAGAAATTACTTGAATGAATATTATCTGAAATATGGTGTACATAGTGTTTATTGTTGTCTTAGATTCGTGCAAGTTGTAACTTATTTGGAACCCGTAAACCAAGCTAAGCTACATCTGAAATACTGAGAAATGCTATTAGGAGAATACACCGGTAAACATGATATTTGAATGCCAGAGATATCATTGCAGTTTTATGTATCCCTGACAAAATTCCAAATGTCAAGGAATTGAATTGAAGATTTGTGATAAAGGAAGTGGTCAAATATACTTAGATTGAGGAAATGAAATGATATTCATAATATCTATAAAAATAAGAGAGTAACATTCACTGATATATTTGTGTAGTGTACTGTGAGTTAAGATGTAGGTATGTTTTATATTTGTAATTTTAAAATCACTTGTTCTGAATTTCACTTTGTGTTGAAAACAATTGGTCAGTTTGCTGTTGTGTAGTTTATGGTACAAGAATCTAGATGTTTATTGTGCTAAATAAACCATTTCTGCTAAATGGCCATCATACACATTGATGTTTATAATGTTTATTCTCAATGGCTATTGTACAATATGTTACATATGTAATGGATCTTTTATATTGTATCTCTAGCATAAATGTGCATCTTCAATTCTGCATTCCTTACAAGGCCAATTGTACCTGTGGTATATTGCATTTATTGCTACAATTTATTTTTGTTTCATATTCTAGTAATTAGTTGTATTTTTCCTGGAGTCATTCTTAATTCAATGTGCTTTATAATTGGTTTATTAATAAATCCATTCTGATGTAACATGCATACAAAGGAAATTTCTTTACTTTGAGGATGCCTTACTTCATCATTCAAGACTGCACATGCAATGCCAAAATTCATTGGTTAATAATTCTTTGTGGGAAGGCCTATTTTAACAAATGCCTGGTTTAAATGTGATAAACTTATTTTGTAGTTCAATTACATTATGATATTCATTGTTCTTCCTGCTGAGGAAGTAGTTGATGGGGTTGATTCACTATACAAGAAATAAAAGAAACCTCTTGACAGATTAGTCAAGATTATTTTGTATATAAATACATTTTACTCTACTTAAAATTAAAATATCAGTACAGTATATTTTTAATGATGTCAGCTGCTGAAGCTGGTGTAATATTGGCCATTCAAGAACTGTTACAGCCTGTTTGTTGCTGATATTCCAGCTGTGGTGCTGTGGCTTTTGTTAACATAGTGTTGGAAAAGGCTTTACATTTAGTGTGTTTCTATTAAGTACTTTTTTGCAATTGGAATGTCCAGGAGTATTTCTTCAAAATCTTTTTTTCTTTTCTCTGCACTGTCAGATTTTAATTACTGCAGTTGAATCTTTTATATCAAACACATTGTCTGTTCATGTCATTTAATCAAAACAATATTTTTAAATGAATTATCTAAAGTACCCTAAAAATCTAGTTGTTTGTCTAATCATCTAATTTATTTTAAATTAAATTATTCTTTGATTTAGCAAAGGACACAAAAATCTTTTCTACGTGGCTCCATAGCTAATAAAAGAATAAAATTAATATATTTCATATAATTATGTCAAAAACCATGTATGTGTTAGTAGTATACTTTAGCCATTGATATAAAACTTGGTCTTTTGCTGAGGGAATTGAGGAAAGACGGAAATTTTGAGTGAGAAGAAACTCCAAACAAACGTAAATATGACATTGAAGAGTTGCACACTTCTACATTGTTAATATAAGAGATCTGATAGAGCCATAGCATGATGACTGGAGTGTGAGCTACTCTGGTGTTAATCAGATGAACTAGAACTGCAAAATGAAGTTGCAGGTTTTAATAATTATTTGTCCTCTGTGTAAAGTCTTCACTTAATACAGTTAAGGTAATTAGCTATTTCATTTAATATATATATAAGGGTATGTAATGTTGATTGCTTTGTTACTTGTGCTCAGATTATTGAAGAGAATTTGGATTTTTAACTGTAATATTACTAGGGTATTTGTAAAAAAATTGTACTTTTCTCATTATTATGCACACAACTGAATATTTGTTATAAAAAAGTTTTTGATTAATATTTGGTAGCGATGAATGATGGATATAGGTATATCGAATGGTAAAAATTGGAGATAAATAAAGTAATAAAGTATTTCGGAAGTAGCTTGTGAGAAAACGGTAAGATCCAAAAGCACTGGTTTAAATTGAACATAGTTTAAGTTGTAAAAGAAATGTAATTACTTGTATGTTTTGTGTCATTTTGACAGTTCACATATATTTGTGTGTGCTTTAGATATTGAAATGTATGAAGTGCTATTTTTTTAGAGATGGGTATAATCTTGCCTTGCTATACTTATAGTATTGGATGTAAAGACTAGTGCTGATACGGAGATCAGGCATATTGCTTGGTTGTAATTTATAAATTTGAAACAAGCAAGAGATTTTTTAATTTTTGTTGCACTTAGTTTCTATGAATAAATATGTAATTTATTCAGCAAACGTTATATGAATCTTTCAACTGTTTTATTGATGTAGGTTATTCGTGATAAGAGAATAATAACAATATATTCTTAAAACACTCTCCTTATGAATGGTGTATATATGAATAGGCACTGAACTTATAATTACAGGAAGCAAGGTTGGGGATGTCAAAATCTTGTTAGTAAATGAGCAGGTGTACTTAAAATACTGTGTCACTAAAGATTGCATTTGTCTCGATCCTAAATTTCATTTTGTCGTTTTATTTTCATACTATTAATTTGTGATATGTTTGTCATTTCATGTAAAAATGTGAATGTTTTTTGTTGTGCTGGTTTCAGTGAAAACGCTCTTGCCAGTAGATAAGCTCGTTGAAATACTCATAAACTCGTGCAATAAATCATTTACTAATGTAGTAAGCTCTGCTCATTTCTAGGAAAACATTTTTAAAATGAATTTTGATCCTCTTTATTATAATTTATGTATGGTTCTTCCGGATCAAATTGTGAATGGAACACTGCATCCTCACCATTGAAACAAATCTGCATTGAAAATGTTTGATTTAATTATTCTCTTTTCAAAAGACCAGATAAAACTGTTTTAGACAAGTCATTTTTTTCCCTCCTCCATTAACTGTGCTGAATAAATAAATAATTATTAAGGTTCTCTGCAAAATTACAAGTTGCATAAAATGTATGGGCTCTATTCAGCTTTTGCTCATAACTTTTTATGAGTGACTTTTAAAGATGTTTTGAAGATTTTATAAAGTATATACATATGTAGCAACCTTTACAGCATTATTTTGGCTGTTTATCATTTCCAAGGCATCTTTCTTCTTCTGCCAAGAGTCCTGCATCATATCTTGACCTTTCATGCTCCATCTGTCTGTTTCACTCTTGGTTGACTACTTCTGCCAGGCTGTTTTCCAGTTGTAGCACTTTTTAGGCAGTCTTTCTTATTAATCTTTTCTAAATGGCAGCACCATATCTATATTTTCTTTTTGATGAAATCATTTAAATGCCCTTCTACATTCAATCAACTTCTAATTGTCTATGTTCTTCTCTGATTAATTAGTGAGACCCCTTAATATCTACTCCAATAGCTTGTTTTTAACCCAATTCTCTTTGTCAGGACTTAATTTGTTACCCAAACTTCAGAACCATATGTTACTGAGCTTTTTACTAAAGTATTAAGTGGATAGATTTTTGTTTTAGTGATGATGTCCTTTCTGAATGCAGTAGATTTAATTTGTTTACAAATTGTCATCACTTTCCAGACAAAATATCTTCATGGGCGGTCCAATTGGTCTTAATCACTCCAAAATATTTGAATACTTCACATTTTTAATCTTACATCCCTCTAACATTATTTCTTGCTGTACATCATTAATTACCAAATACTGAGTCTTATCCATGTTTATTTCCAATCCCCAATTTTCAAATTTGTCTCCAAGTTTCCTCTTCATGTAAGAAGAATTGTTTACATCTGCTGCACAGACAACTTGATCATCTGCAAAGAATAAAGTGTCAATATTTTCTTTTCCAATCTCTTTTCCCTTTTTACTGCACTTTTTTGCCTAGTTTTAAGGCTGATGTAATATATATTTTAAAGAGTGTTGAGGAGGGACAACATCCTTGTCTTAACCCCTGGTTGGCATTGAAAAACTGAACAGATCTAAATTTTAATCAGGCTAGTATTTCCTTCACAAAAACTCATTATTGCATTTATGTATGTCCGTGTCCATTTTATACAGTGATGTGGGAATAACTCTTATGTAACATTGACATCACTAAATGCAGTTCATGCCTATTGTAATTTGTTGTACAACCAAAAATGATCACCACTTACAAATACTGGTTCTATGTTATATGCAATTTTTCATTTGTGTAATTACTCTCACAAGTCATAATTGTGTAACAATTTTCTTGCATTAACTGCTAATCAGATGCAAAAAAATTATCTTGTGCATATACTGCAAAATTAATTGCATCTGTTTCAAAACATTGCTCTTTTCTATGTAAAACAGTAACATCTCTTTATGCCCCCACCTTTGGAGGGTGATTCAACTACTTTTAAATGTTTGTCCACAAAAATGAAAAACCCATTTCATTCCTTACATCATAGCCAAATCAGAGAGGCACACCTTTGTGCCTCTTTGCTGGCTCCACATTGTTATTGGATTCACCATTGTCTATTTTACAGTCAGAGCCAAAAATATTATTTTTGTTTAATTAGATACCATTCTCATACTCTGTTAATAAAATGGTGAAATTTAGTAATTGATTAACATTTTTATATATGCCACAGGACAACTAATAAAAATTCCTCAATATTTGGAACTAGTTTCTGCTTATGGAAAAAGTTTCGTTTCCAAGGGCCTTGGAAAATTCTTCCAAAATATAAAGAAAGCTTTTTTAATAGAATTTCAAAAATTCAAAATACACGTATCTCTTCTTATTAGGTCGCAACAGTCCATAAGTAAACTTGGGCCTCTTTCGGGATTTCGGTCCTCCAATTTTTCACTCCTATGCGTTTCAGGTCTTCCTCAATACCATCCAGCCACTGGGGCTTTGGGAGTGGTCTTCCGACTGCGGGCGCCAAAAGATCGCGTAAAAGTCAATTCTTTACACGCAGTGATTTCGGCAAGAGACAGATATGGCCAAGCCACCTTAGGCTAGCCAGTTTGATTTCTTTAACAATAGTGTTGCTATTGTATAAGTCATATCTTGCTGTTGTGTCGGATTCTCCATTTGCCGCTGTCCTGCACGGGCCCAAAGATTTTACTCCCAAATACACCTAGTATATTTATATTATTTTTATGGAAGGCTACACATTCAGTTCCATACATCACTATATATTTTAGCAATGTCTTGCTATATTATATATATATATATATATATTATAATATATATATTATATAAATATATATATATATAAAAAATGAAATGTCGTAGGGACCGCGAGCCAAAACGTTATTTTAGTCCAAAGTTGCTTCTGTTTGCCATACTTACCCTTGCCTTAATTTCAGCTGTCGAAGAGTCAATCATGCGTCAGAAGTGTTCCAAGATATTTAAAGGAGTTAACTCTTTCAAAGGAATATTCTTCTATTTCTACTGATTTCGTGTTAGCTTTCTTCTTGGTTAATTCCATATATTTGTTCTTTCTACTATGAACACTTAGTCCAGTCTCTTTTGCCGCATCAATCAAGCTTGATGCCGCTTCCCCCGAACGCCGTTATAGTTCCACTATCACTATATCATTCGCGTAGGCCAAGAGCAGTAGCGTAAGCTTGACAATGCCCCTCCCTGCCTCAATCCCTGTGCGCTGTCAAAAGGATCAGAAATTCATCTCGTTACTTTCACTCTGCACTGTACTTGTCGTATAGTTGCCTTTACCAGACTGGTAAATTTCTTTGGAATGCCAAACTCTTCCATGGCCTCAATTAGTTTCTCCCTATTCATAGTATCATATGCTGCTTTGAAATCAATAAATAAATGAAAGGTGCTCAAACTATATTCCCTGGTATTTTCGATGATTTGCGTTCGCAGGCTACCGCGGCCGGAGTCAATACATTCTTGGCTGTCCGGGATGAGTCGCGTCTCGTTCCTCAATCGATGCGCGTCCTCGGTCGATGGCCGAAACGCCCGCACAATTGACAGAGACGCGGCTCATCCCGGATAGCCAGGAATGTATTTTTCGATGATTTGTCTCATTGTATGAATATGATTTGTTGTTGATTTCTTTCCTGAAATCAGATTGGTAATTTCCGGTAAGTGGTGAAACTGTTGCGGGCGTTCATAAAAAAGATTGGAAATCTTGTATCCTGTGTTCAACAAACTGATTCCTGTATAATCCTCCCTAGTATATCCCCCTTTTTATATATTGGGCATATAAGTGCTTCTTCCCATTGTTTTGGCAGCTTTCTTTGTTTCCATGTTTTACATATGATGTGATGTAATTTATTCCATAGGCTAGGTTTCCCTTCAATAATTTTCATCATTTCTGATGCTGTTCAGTCCGCCCCCGGTGATTTGTAATTATTCAATTTTCTGATAGCATTTAATAGTTCATTCATATCTGGATGTCCATCAGTAGCAGTGTTCTCACAGTCACTTTCACTTGGGTCTATTTGAGTAATTTCCTGTGTTTGTCCAGTTGTTCTTATCCCCAGCAGACTCTTTAAGTGTCCCTGCCATCTCTTTATAATCGAGTTTCTATCTGTCAGACTGTTGTTATCATTTCTACAGAGTTTTTCTCTCCTTTTGTGGCCTTTTATACCCCTTTATGGCCTTTTATGCAAGTGACCTGTTGATAAAACTTACTTCTTTATTTGGGTTTATACTATCTAACCTCTTTACTTCTTTTTTTCCTAATTCTTTTTTTTCTTCTGATCTTTATTTATTGTATTCTGCATTCTTTATACAAATCAGTTGTTACTTGGGAGACGTCTTCTGGATAATTTTCTAAAGTAGCTTTCTCGCACTCATTGTCACACCATGAGTTATGTTTCTCATGCCGCTTCTCCCCCAAAACTGCTACATGGTTCAGCATTTGTTGGATTTTATTCCATTCTACTTGTTTTCCAGAGTGATCATTGTTAAATTTTTTGATACCCATGGCAACGTTTTGGGAAAAATATTGCCGCACCTCAGGACTCAGCAATTTTTCAATGTTAAATATTTTCCTAGTATTATTTTCGCTGTCCTGATTTTCATTTCTACAAATCCTACTTCTTATTTTAGATATTACTAGAAAGAGATAAGAATCTGCGTTAGCTCCACCTCATACAGCGGACATCCAAGAGGCTAGACTTGTGCCATTGGACAATTAGGATATCGTCAATCTGGTTTGTTATAAGTCCATTTGGTGATCCCCATGTTCCTTTATGAATCTCTTTATGGGGAAAATGCGTGGCGCCTATAATCATGTTGGTTATTTGCGAAATTTACTAACCGCATACCATTATTGTTACTTTCACTCTGAAAGCCTTCTATTCCAGCTGCTGGTTTTGACCACTCTTCTCTTCCCATGGCATTTAAATCTCCCAGTAATCTCTAGTTATCAAAACCCAGGGGAGCAGCATTTGGGAAGTTTGTTAGAGAGTACTTTATAAAGAGTAATATCGCAACATTTACTTGAAATGCATTTTTGGAGAAGAAGCAGTGGCACTTCCAAACTGGAACACGCACGGAATGAGAAAATAAGGTTTGTTATGGACGTTAAAAGAAATATTATCGACAAAATTGAAACCAAACGCCTTCTCTGGTATGGTCATCTGGAAAGAATCTTGCTTATTTACACTGTTCACTTCTGATTATTTACTCTGTTCACTACTTCTAATTGTTTATTTACACTGTTTACATCTTCTACACTATCACACTGTCCGATGCACTGACCACAGTCCACTGCGCTGGCTACAGTTCACGGCGCTGATCACTGTCCTCTGCACTGCTGTTCACCGCAATGCACACTTCACAGCTCAATTTCCACTTCACACAGACTGCTAACGGCCGCCGGCAGCGACGAATTTATACGTCTGGCGCCTGTCTGGACCTATACGGAACTTGCGTCATACTTCTACACGACTCACGAATAACCCGTAACCGTCCAGTTCGGGGGAGGGTGCCGGCAGATGACGCAATATTCGTTATATATATGGCGCGCCAAATTTAGGGACAGGACTCACATTTTAGTGTTTTTTAATTTAACTGCATTTTTCAAACAAATTATTGGTTTTTGGTCTTTTAGATATTTTTTATTCAAAAGGGTGTATTATTGAAGTCATAAAAGCAGTAATATATTTAGGTAAAACTATTTGTAGGTAACATTAATACCAGTTTTTAGTGACGCCTCCCTTCGATGCAGTTACAGCGTCAATGCATCTCGGCATGCTCTCTACGCAGGCTTTTGAAGTTTGTTGCAGTTCCATGTAGTTATATTCTTTGTTGAGAATTTCTATTAAGTGGCTGCTGGTGATGATGACTTGCTTGGTGATCGGCCGTTTGGTAAGTTCCCTATCTCAGGCTCCCACATGAGTTCTCTAAAGGGTTCATATCTGGTGAGTTCGCCGGCCAGGGAAAACGGTAATATGTTTGTACTGGGAATGCCGTTATACTCGTGGTTTTGTGGAATGGTGCAGAATCGTGAATAAAAATGTATTCTTAATGTTCGAGGAACCATTCTTCGAATTTAGAATTGTGGCAGTAGCAGAGTTTCCAGTACTCGGTTGTACCGGTCTTGCCTTACGGTCCCTTCGACAATAGGCGCCCCCATATACCCTTCGCTGAGATCACAGACCACATGGTACTAGCCGGATATTTAACCTTCTTCATTAGGTAGTTTGAATGGAACTGAATCCCAGGTTGTCAGAGAAATGAACGTTAGTCGACCAAAATCTGAAACGACCTGTCGAGATGGTTCGGTCCATGGAGGGATGCAGGGAGGGTCTCGAGAATATATTTCTTTCACCAGTCGTCTTTATCTTCCCCATCGTTCATTCTGGTTCTTTGATAACACCCTGCTTCCTTTCTTCTACCCTCCTATTTAACTGGCTCCCCCTGTATGCTGAACTCCCACCCATGTGTTTGCCGGGCATGGCGGCCCGTGTCGGAGGGAATGTGTGTCCTGGCAGTTGAGGGACCTGTTTGTTTCCCAACTACCCCTTTTGCTACTTTCTGCCTTGCACCTAGGGATACGTTGTTTACTTATTTTGGGGGACATTCCTTGTAGGTTTCCATCACACTTGGTTTGGCCTCTGACTCTTCTAGACGGGCGGTCGGGAGCTAACCCACTCCCGATCAATCGGCTCGGACTAGGCCTTGTACTGAACTCCAGAGCGGGGGAATCCACGGCGTGGCAGCGCTGTGACATCTTCCCACTATATCTTCGTGTCAACCCTGGCACCCCAGTGGGGTGTCCCCTTGTTGGACTCCGTGGTGGGTGGGGAGCACCGAGACTAATCCGCTTCAATTCTATTGAGCAAAAAACAAAACCCCTTGCCCTCTTTCGGAAGGAAGAGGCGATGTTTTGAGAGATCCGTTGGTTTGAGTAGTTTCTGCCTTAGGGAAGAAGATAAACCAAAGAAGCCAAGCTTCCTTGTGATGGCGTGCACGGAAGAAGAGAAAACATTTAAAAGTATTAGTGCACTTCATCTCACCAGCCATTGAGGACAGTTTCAGGGAGCTCCAAGCGGTGGTGCGTGATAGGAATGGTACCATTATTTTCAAAGTACGCACCGATGAGCGAATAGAAAAATCTCAAAAATTAAGCACATTGCCGCCACCAGGTGGAAGTGACCACTCACCGTACTCTGAACCTATGAAAGCA